AAAAGTTATATTGTAAAATTCATTTCTTTCCTGCTCTTTTATGGCAAAGCAAGATACGTGTTTTTCTAAGTAAAATAGAATCTTTGGTTCATCCCGTTTTCTCCTGCCTCATCGTCTGTCATTCGTGACAATATTATGTGTTGTTTCGCAGTGATGGTTGCACACATGAAATGAACCTCTTCCACGTAAAAACGACACCAGATCGCGAATACACACAATACACACGGTGGAGGTTCGGATGAATGGATGAATGCATACAAGTGGACATTTCGATAACTGGGTGGTGGCTTGCGCCCCCGAACAGCTTCGAATGGGCAACGGCAAAGCACGTGCCGACAGTCGGCTATAGACGCTTTGCAGCAGCTGTGCATGGACGCCGCCATAACTGACCTTCAGTTTTTGTTTCCTCTTATTTCGTTTATTTCACTTCACCATTACCATAGCAGGCCAGGTTATTGACATATTATATTCAACTGTGTCCTTTTCTAAAGCATCGGACTTTGTAGAGGATCGTCAACTACCGTTTCAGTTGCTCGGCATCTGGGTAAGACAAAAGAAGGTCAGCAATGGCGGCTGTAATTTGGCGCGTGTGTAAAGCGTGTATAGCTTGCGTCCCTTCGGGTTCTACTACAGCCCATTTCAGGTCATACTGCATCCCAGGGTAATTATTTTTTCCGGACACTTCGCGCCAATGTCGTTTTATTCCGAAATGTTTTATCCCAAGACTTAAAAAAAAAAACAGTGACGTTTTATATCATGACATTTAATCCCAACAAAGTTTAGTACGTTTAGCATTGGCGCTAAAGCGCCAGTTATATTAAGAATTGTTCCACTATCATCGCTACTCTGGTTCTGGGGCACAACTCCAGAAGTTCCTCGATTCACATACAGAAGAACAACAACGATGCACTGACAGCTTCGACTTACGTGCTCACAGAGTTCCTTTTTTTTTTTTTTATTCATAAATATTTTACTTTTCAACAACATGATACTTGAGATTAAAAGTGTAGATATAACTTTAGAGTATAGCGTATTTTATTCCTCGTGCAAGAGCAGAGATTCCTCCAGGTCCTGATATTATATGCCAGTTAAATTCCCAGGGTTTCGCGAGTGGTAAATGACCAGTGGTGCTGGGGTTTGCGGCGGAGCGCCTTAAAGGCAGGGCAACTCCGCTTCTTTTCCAGTAGTGCAAAACTATACAGTTCTCTTTGTTATCATCTACAAAACCCCCATGGCAAATATTACGACGGAATTCCGCCTAGAAGTGCATTAAAATCGCTGTCAAAGTTTGACAAGCACGAATCCGCTGGTTTTGGATGAGACGTGCGGGCCAGACAACACTGCCCGGCTGCATTTCCGCTTCCTCCAAATTCCTTCTACCGGCACGTCCGTGACGTCATCAAGCATGTACAGCTCCTTTTTTTTCAATTTTGTTTTCTTTCCCGGGGAGAGCACGGGTGGTGCCAGCGCCGTGCTTTCCCCAGAGAGGGAAGCTGCTTTTGTAAGAATTTTGAGTGACAGGTTAATCTTCTATAATCTTCTGGGGGGAAAATAGCGACGCCTGTGCTAATCCAGGAGGCACAAAGGAGGATCCTGATAAGAGGGGAGCTCCTTGTTCCCATTGTATATCACGTGGGTGTACATGCTTAGTGTCCGGCTTTGCCACCGTTTCGGTTTCGGTTTGTGATCATGGCTAGAGTAAAATTACACGAAAAATATTTTATTTTTCGCGAAACAAAGGATTGGGGATTGTTTTTGAGTGCTTCAAAAAGCAAAATCGGCCACTATCTCAAAATTTTTGAAATTAAGCGGAGTTGCCCTTTAAAGGCCCGACCACACTAGCGTGAACGGCGCCGCCGGGCGGCGCCGCCGGGCGGTACCGCCTAGAGTTCCTGTATAGGCTCCCTACGGGAGCCAGAGTTGCGCATCTGTTTTCCCCGCGCCGCCACGCCGCTATTCGCCGAGATCCATCACGTGAGGAGCAAAGCATCCGTTGGCGTGTAAGAAAGCCACCTTTACGGTCGCTCCGCCGACGTTTCTCTTGCCCCGGCGTATGTTTCCCTGCTTTCCGCCTCCTTTTCCTCCTCTCCTGTTTTCCATGCGCGGCGGCGCGCGCGGCGCCGCTATTCGCCAAATTTAGTCACGTGAGGAGCAAAGCATCCAGCTCTTGCGGGAAAGCCGGCGCTACGGCCACGCGCCGAGGCTGAATGCGCAACTCTGCTACCGTAGGTAGCATATACAGGAACTCTAGTACCGCCGTCCGGCGTCCCAACGCGAGGAGTCCACATTGGCCTCCGTTTTGCAGGCGTCACGTGACAGCACTGGTTCCCGCGATCGCGCCTCCCGTCGGATTTCCCGCTCTTTCGTCGTCTGCTCTTCGTTAGATTCTTCCGTTCCGCACTCGCTGTCTAGACGGTAAGAGTTCATAATGACCTGGTGATCAGCGTGAATGTGATTATCCTAACCTGCTCGTTGATCTTGCGACGTCGCCGCGCTCTGAAGGAAAGGAGGCGCAGGTTTTGGGTCCGGCCGGGTTGGTTCTACCGAAACACCGAAGGACGGGAGAGGTCTGGCGCGCCGCCGGGGCTTTGCTGCCCCGGCGGCGCGCCAGAGACGAAGGCTACTTTCGAAAGTGTCACCAAATCAACACGACATCCGTCACAACAGAGACGACATGCAACAAGTGCCACGGAGAAACTCACTTGTAATTCCGAATTGGTTAGTTTCAAGGAACCGCTCCGTTGGGGAAGGCATCGGGGGGAAATAGGGGAAGCAGACGACACCAAACACGTCCTTCGCTTCGAGAGGCGCCGAGGACCGGCTTGAGCGTTGCCATGGCATCGCGACGTCACTATCTACGCCACCTCCCATTGGCTCCTCTCTTCTGCGGCGTGCGGCGTCAAGCTCTGAACCGCGCACGGAGCGGTTGGGTGTGCGGCGCCGCACGTCGTGACGTTGAAGCCGAAAACTGGTTTCCGCCGGCAACCGGCAGCGACGACCGTCGCGCCGCAGGCCTCCGAAACGCCAATGTGGTCGCGCCTTAAGGCACCTCCTGGTGGAAAAAGGCGGAGGTTTCGAAGTTCCAGGTCTTGCTGCGAAGAGGTACGAGACAAGTATACACCTCCACCAAATAACACGGTAACTATGTTGTGATTTAATTACACTGAAAGGAGAGACATTGTAAATGGCGGTTCTAAGGGAGATAGGGTGTCAGATGGGGGGTGTGCCGACCGCATCCGCCTCTCCATAGGAGCTGGGTGTTTTGATGCCTGGGGTGGCGCTGCCAGTCAGAGCGGGACCAGAAGGCCGGTCGCGCAGCGTTTAGCGAGGCATGGGGCGTGCTGGTGTGACTATTTCTTCTTGTTGAGAGTTGCGTGTGAAGCGAAACAATATTGTTTGGCTGCTAGCTGTGCCGGAGAGACGAGGGGCTCACAGTGATGTTAATTTCTGCGAAAGAAAAAGTTTTGTGCCGGGGGGCAGCGTGGGTAATAACACATGCAAAGAGAAACGCTCCCTCTTTCGGACGCTGAACGACGCCTCTCTGTTCGCGAAATAAAATCGTCTAATATCAAGGAAAAAAAAAAAAAAAAAAACTGACGCAGAAAGAAAAAAATAGTTACAAGAAAATTGAGCGATGCATGTGACATGTCAAAGAAAAGAAAAAAAAAACTTTTCTTTAAGTAATATTGCTCTTCAATAAAGGCAGCAATTGAAGTTGCTCCATTTCCCTTGTCCGCCTCGATGTTTATTTTCATATGATGCGTGCTCACTAGATGAAATGAATCCAGACATTTCCTGGTTCGGCTGTGAATGTAAAAGTCAAGAAAAGGGCTCGCTTGAATTGATCCAAGCTACACAAAAAAGATGTATCGACACTGGAATAGGAACTAATTATTAAAAGATCTGTTATATGTACAGCTGCCAAAAAATATTTATACGAGCTTTGACACTGAAGTGAAGAGGAAAGCATTGCGTATCATATCATCCTCCAAATTTGCTTTCCTAATGCTGGCGTGTAAGGTGAGATAAACAATTATTCTATAACCGCAAAACGAAGACAAAATTTAAAGATGCGAAACCAGGTTAGTAACCGACCGCTCCCAAACGGCATTTTTGCTTTGAATATAAGCTTCTGCCGCGCATGCAAGTCGCGCTTTTTCACGTGGGGTGTAAGGTAGGATGGAACTCGTTCTTCTTCAAAACCGAGCCGACAAGTAAGAACACGACCATTTTCACGCCGAATAAAGCATCTCTGCTGCGACCGAGGTCTCTCGGCGCTCTGCCCCAAAGCGCCCTCAGCAGCGTTCTTGCACATCACGACACCCTCACCATGGCCTCTGAGATACCGAAACGAGGCCATGCTCTCACGGCCGCCGGACGGCACACCTCCCCAGTCTAATACACCTCACCGGAGATCCAGAGAAGCCCTGCTTGCTCTTCTTCGCATCGGTCCAGTCCTGCTCTAAATTTGTTCTTTCTTCTTCTTAAAGCCCCAGTGTAAACGAGGCTTTAGGCTTTGCTGGGTGTCGTCATTAAAGCAGTTATAGTAGTATTATAGCAGATTCAGTTATCCGTATCGCCTTCCCTGCGAAAAAAAACCATTAGTTGATATATTATTTTCAAGAAAGCAAGCACCAACAGGGCTTTACACATACCCGAGAGTAAAGTCAAAGCCGTTCCTTGTAAGTAATATATTTAGAAAATCTATGACATCTGTGACCATCTGCGTGTACCGAATGGACAGGCGTTGTTTATCATAGAAAAGCTATTCGGGCTTGGAGAGGTGTCCTTTAACCGTGCAGCTGTCGACTTCGGTATTTTCGAATGTTTCCATGACATGAAAACATGTGGTAGGTGGTAGTCTATTCCTAACAAATACATTTCCGTCAAAAAAAAAGAAAAAGAAAGCCACTGACGTTATTTATTAATGCGTTCCCCATACCTGTTCTCTTGATTGTGCCAGATACGAAGCAGCGATAGTTGTCTGTTCATGCCGAAACATGGCTTCAAGTCTCGAGTTCACTGTCACCAAGTTTGAGCCGGAATTTTACGTGTCCGCTCACGATATGGAGCGGAAACTAAACATCCGCGCCTTGGAGCTGCTGCAAAGGTCACGTCAAGGCGAAGCGTACCAGGACCAACAGTTCCTGGACGTAGTCTGCGGAACGGGGGACTTCACGCGCGACCACCTGCTTCCCCATTGTAGTCCATGTGGACGAAAAGTCGCCGTTGATGTCTCGTCGGAAATGATAGAGTTCGCGCGGAAGCATTTCGCCCACTCCAAGATCTGCTTCGACACGCTGGACATATCGGAAAAAGACGTGGACGACTTCATCACGAAGTACGGTCAGTTTGATCGCGTGTATTCTTTCTTCTGCTTGCACTGGGTCAAAGATCAAAGGACGGCCCTCAAGAACGTCTCCGCGTTGCTGAAACCCGGGGGAGATTGCTTTCTTCTCTTTACCGCCTACACCCACACCACGCGACTGCGAAGGAAGCTGGCGAAAATGGATCATTGGAAGAAATGCGCGGGAGGTGAGACGGCTTTCGGAATACTCTTTGAATATCCAATACCGTGACTGGACCATACTTTCAGTACAGTGTTCTTTCAGCGTGCTTGCCAAGCACGCGCACTCGCTACAGGAAAAAAAAAAAAAAAAATTCTTCGAGGCAAGATGCCCATGTTTGTAGCTTCGGCTTGGTTTGTAAACGAACTACAGGATGTATTTTTATTAATTCTCAAATTAAATTTGAAAAACAAATAAGAGAATTAATGTGTGGATGACTTTTTTTAATTTTGGGGCTAAGTAGGCAGTCGGGGGCAACTAGGAAAGGGGTGAACTTGTTTAATTAGTTCGCTTATTAACTAGAAAATGCTCATTAACTTTCTAAAACTTAATTTGTCGGCATTTATTGGTGGCGGATTGACGCTCGACTTGTCTCGGTCTTGACGTCACGTAAAATATTGACTAAAATAAATATTCTCTAAAATATTCACCGGACAAGAAACTGTAACCCTCGTACTCGGCTTCAAACCGAAAGTACGCGAGCAAGGAACGCCCATGATCCATACAATCACCTTGCTCCGGCTCCGCAGCCCATATGTATCTGCGCCATAGCTGTGACGTCAACAGTGTAAGGCATGCGCAGAGAGGAGGGATCGAGGTCACGTGTGCTTCTTGCGAGCTTACACTTCCGGTTTAAAGCCGTTTACGTGGATGACATCCTCATTCTGCCGGTTTGCTTTCTTTTCACAGGTGTGCGAGAGCTCTGAGGCCGGATTCTCAAAGCGAACTTACGACGAAAAAAATGCGTACGACAAATTTGAGAGAAAATCCGTATTCTCGAAACGAAATTGTCGTAACTTTTGCGCAAGTTACGACAAAATCCTACGACAGCTCCGAAGCTGTCTTACGCACTTTCTACGATCACATTAACATGGCCGACAACGTCGCTCAGTTGCTCGGTCGCGACGACCCAACGGACATTTATTTTTCTACCTGCTCTTCTTGCGCGTCCCGACTTCAAGCAGCAAGAAAAAATGAAGAAGTACTTGGAACCGACCACGACGAACATGAACGCTGGATCCACAGACACCCGGAAAAGGCAACAAAGGCGACGATCCCACCGACCAAGCGAGCTCGGCAGAATATATAGGCCTAGCAGGCACTCCGACCCGTTCCGGCGCAGCATTGCTCAGACGGTCCTCGGCCAAGACCGTCTGCCCACGACCGGCTGGCTTGCTGAATGGAATATGCCCGCGCGACCCTTGTGGACCCTCCCCGTATGAATAGTTTGATAGCTGAACTAAATTTCAGAGGTCAACCGATTCCCCTTATCTCGATCACCTTGTTTTCCGAGGCAGCGGTGACGAACGCTGTCGTCGAAAAGGGACTCCTCGATTGTATCTCCTTGTTTTGTGTGATATAGAGCTCAAATAAACGCCGTATGGATTACCTTCTCAACACGGTATGTACACTATGTTATTAGTATGCCATTTTTAACTGTCGAGCTATATCAGTTTGTGGGAGCTACGCGATGCCGGTCTAAACTTTCTTTGCCGAGTGTCACGTCAGTATCGAGTTGCAATCGTAGAAGATCGGTGTCGAAGCGCTTACCGAAACGCAGTCTGAATCCAGCACTTCGATCAAACGCACGCGTCCGCTCTGAGTGTGAACAGGTATTTGCGTGACTCTTGCTGACACTCTTGTAGTTCAAACGTATCTTTTTTAACGTCGGCTCACTCCTGCATTTCCGAGCACGCGAGAAACGCCGCGGCGGTTTGTTTCCTTCTACGTCGCTTTGCAAACGACTGGCACGGGGCTTTTACCAATGATGACAGTTGTGTTGACTTCGTAGCGATCGAGTTTGTAGCAGTCAACGAAGCGTTTAAATCCTGTTAGCGTCGATATACCACTGCACGGACACGAACCCCAGACAAGCGGTGGTGGAAAGGTCGCCCGCGTTTATGAGAATCAGCTTGAACACTACACATTTACACACAGACAGGACAGGACATACACGGAGCTGTCTATCAACGAGTGGTTAGCCTGTGTTTGTTATTAAAAATCCACGTGCTCCGAACGCCTAGCTCTCTAATTGGTTGTTCGTTTTGCCGAAGACGCCGTTGCCATAGCAACAGCACCGGAAGTCATCGTTTCTCCGTAAGAGGTCGTAACTTTCCTCCTCTCACTTAAGAACGCGTTTGTGAATACCGTTCTCGCCTCATCTTACGATGATCGTAACTTTACGAACTTCGTAGCTAAGTTGTCGTAGGTAAGAGGTTCTTTATGAATCTGGCCTCTGTTCCCCCGAACGTCGACTTGGGAAAGGGAGAAGACGTTTTCGTATCTTAAAGGGAAACTCCGCTTCATTCTCGGTTGTTAAAAAACACTGCGACCCTCTTTAGTATCATCTAGAGAGACCGAATGTCAAATATTATAACATAATACCACCTAAAAGATCACTAAACCGGCCGATAAAAACTGAGGTGCGCGAAGTCACCAAAATCCGACCATTTGCAGTCTCTCCCAAGCGCCCCGGCGCGCGCGCGAGGAATCTTGGGATCGGTGTTCTGTCGGCCCCCGTCGTCTGGCTGCTCTCCGTTGGAATCGCATCACCTCGCCCTAGACATACTTTTCATCTTCGTTGTTTATACTTAATAATCCTCTTTTTTATCTACTCCAGTGTATTTTTCTTGTTCATAAGTGTATCTATTTCGTTCAGCGCTTTGTATTTCTTCTGTATATTACGTGTTTTTGTGCATATTCCATCGTTTTCGACGCGGCCGTCGACGGACACCACGCCGCTTCGTTCGCCGCTCCCGGGGTGAGTACTGACTGTTGCCGTTACGCTCTATCCCGCTCCTAGGCCGTTCATTTAACTCGTGTGCGGTCGCGAGAGAGCAGTTTCGAACATCACTACAAATGTCACCGCTGTAAGCAGAGAAATAAAGTAGTCATCACGAAGCGAAGGCCGACATGCCTTCGCTTCGTGATGCGCTCGCCCTGTGAAATGTGAGCGTGGGATATCGAGTACTGCTTGCGTGCTCAACATTCGGGACGGTGCTTTGTCGTTGCGATCTTTTTGCCCTTCGGACGCTTGCGAAGCTGTACCAGCGGTCGGCGTGCCTCGGCAGCGCTCGTCAACAACCGTCCGCGCAGCATCACATCCTTCGCGTTCGGTTCTTCGTCGCGGCGGGAGAAGGGGTTCTGACTGCGTTTTATGCATAGTATGGGGGAGATTCCATTGTTTATCGAAATTACAGTTCAGCTAGCGCGCTCACTGTGGTGAGGCAAGATTGCCCCTGCGAACCGCGCTAACACAGCGTCCCGCGAGTGCATATCTTTATTGATCATCCCGTTTTCACGCAAGCGCGTGCATATGAAATGCTAGACACTTTTTAGTGGCTCTGCGAACTGCTTCTTTTGGACGAACACTGACGCATTGAAAGCTGGAGTGTCTTTGCCACTCCTGTACAACACTTCACGGTCGTGCCAGCAGCTTTATGCTGCTGGCACGAAACGGATTATGGTCAAAACGCGTTCTTCGTATTCAGAGCTGCACTATATCATGGACACTGACAGGGCAGCAGCAACAAGCAGCTCAGTGACACTGGAGATGCTTGTCCCCAATGCCAGTGCGTGGCTTGCTTTCAGAATGCTCCTTCGACTGTGTAATGTTCGAAAGTGCACAAGAAGTTGTAGATTACAAAAGCTGGCATGTTTGCCTAATAGCAAACGCTCTTTTTTTAGCACAAAGTTTACAGCAGGCTTTTTTTGAGGGGTTGTTACCCTAGATGAACTCTTACTTCGCAAGTTTAGGTTAATTCTGTCAAAACAACACCAAACCCATTAAAAAACTGTGTTGGTCAAATTTCCGTCCTCCTTTTAAAACGCTGACTGAGCTGCCTTTTTTTCAGGGAAGGCTATGGCGACACGGGATGTACCAGAGCCGCAAGAGCTACCACTTCCAGCAGGACCTTGGACCAAGCAGCTGAAGGACTTTCCTTCCGCATTCTCGGAAAGCCACATCCAAGGGCATGGCCAAGCAGCTGGAGCACAGAAGCACACAAGTTCTGGCTACAAAATGTTCAAGGCCCACAAAGTGCAGAACATCTTCCTCCACACCACAAGTGCATCAGAGACAATTGTCAAGGCTAACGTGGAGGCTTCCATGACCCTTACGAAGCGATACGCAGTGCATGCTGTGCTCTGCCAAGATGGGCAGGTCAGCAAGGCTTCCTGTTCCTGCAAGGCTGGACAAGGCGGTGTGTGCAAGCATGTGGCAGCACTGCTTTGGCACATGCTAGACCTGATAAGGGAGGGAAGGTCCTACATCCCGGATGCTCTGGCCTGCACTGAGGGAGCAAGGCAGTGGGGCCCATCTTCAAAGAGAGGTGCAAGTACGGTGTCGTTCAACGAACTAGAATTCGTCAAGCACGACTCTAGCAACAAGGCGAAGAGTGCGAGAAAAACCACGGAAGTGCATGTGGACGTGGCGCAGGCAACCGTCAAGAGGCTGCATACAGATTTCATTGAGAAGGGAATATTCCCAATGTTTGCGGACGTGATGGAAGAAGCTGCCTTCACACCCTTGCCAAGGAAGGTTCAGGAGCACTCGAACACGGATGATGGGGCCTCTGCAGCACGGATCAGCTTGCCCATAAAAGAGTGCTGGAATCACCAGATGCCACCAAGCGATCCATGCACCCTGACTCTTACACAAGCTCAGCACCTGGAGGAACAGACACGTGGCCAAAGCAGAAGTATGCTGTGGCACACGGAACGTGAGAAAAGGATCACGGCATCACAGTTCGGAGACATCGTCAAACGACAAGCACCCGTGAACGAAAAGTTTCTCAGGACGATTTTCTCGGGCGGACATGGCACGACACGTCACATGAGGGCGGGACTTCAGAATGAGGCGGCTGCTCTGAAGCGCTACAAGGCCAAGCAAAAGGTCCAAGTCTTCAGTGTTGGCCTTTGCATCAACCCTGGCCTTCCCATGCTGGGGGCATCACCAGACGGGCTGGTCTGGGACGAAGATATACAGGAGTACGGACTAGTCGAAGTGAAGA